GGATTAGGAAGTGTAGCACGATGTCACACATGTATAGCCCTTGTTCATGTATATGTGACTCAAAGACTTGGAGTGACCTCATAAAAAGTGCGAGCCATAGTCAATCGGCCATGAATGCAGAATGCAGAATGATTCTGTGGAATTGGCTGCATCTGTTCGTAAGCATTACCTGTGTACTTGGTTGTTAGTGGAATTTTGCAGATGCACCCCTTTGGAGGCAGTGATTTTTGCCAGTGGCTTGACTGGTGTAGTCGCCGCTGCTGCCGATGTGTAGAAAGTCGCTGATCGAAGCGACGACTCAGAAGGCAGTGCGTCGAAAAGCACAAAACCCACCAAGCATACAACGTTCATAGCAGTCCTGCAATACACAATCATCAAGAAAGGCAGAATCAAGTCGACACGATTGGCGATCTTTTGTGCCAAGCGAACTACAAGGATCATGCGGCAAATTGTGGAGGAGGGTGCTTTCAAGTTACACACAGTGCTTTTCAGTTGAGGGTTGCCAAACTTCCATACGAACCATAGCCCAAAACCTTAAATCCTAAACCCTAAACCTTAAACTCTTTGTGTGTTGGCGAAACCTGATGCGAGGGACCGTTGGCTTGCTGCAAACTCCGTGGGGTAACTCGGAGGTGGGCATGACCAGGGGTATCAAACAGGGTGCAGTCGAGTCTCCTGTTTTCTTCGGGTACATCGCTGAGTTGGTGCTCTCTGATGCCGCTGGTGTGCACGGTTGGCGCAGCATGACCCCCCTTTACGAGGACCTGGCACCGGAAGAGATGTTGTACATGGATGATGGGATGTTGTGGAATGGCAAGTTGTCAGTGATCCAAACCCGTGCACAACAGCTCTCCACCGAATTTGCCAGGTATGGACTCAAAATGAACCCCAGGAAATGCCAGCTCTACGCCTCGCCTAAGGTGGAAGGGGAACATTACATCGTCTTGGATGGGACCAGAGTGGAGGCATCCCCTACTCTGGAAGTGATGGGTCTTAGTCTCAGGGTCGGGGTCTCTCTGTGCGAGCTCATCACACCTGCTTTGACGAGGGCTAGGTCGAAGTTTTGGGAGCACAAGCACCTATTCCGTGCCAGAGGGTTCATGAAGAAGAGGGCAAGGGTCATGGAGAGGGTCGTCGGAGGGACTGCATTATGGTTTATATGTTGTGTGCCACCGGACAGAGCCACAATGACAGCCTTGAACGCCACCCAGCTCCAGCTGATGGTCTGGCTGCTTAGGTTCTCCAAGGCCCAGGATGAAAGTTGGGATTCAGGCAAAGGGCTTTTCGGGGGGCGAGATCGGCTCTTCATGCAGCTGGCCTTGAGCGTTCGAGCACGGTATGGCTCCGTCGCTACTGGCGATATGCAGGGCATCGGGTTCGCACCGTCCTTTCGGAACACCCACCTATCAGCTGTGACTTTGAGCACTTTCGCACCCTACCATGGTGGGAACACCAGCAAACCCTGCCTCGAGGGAAGGGTAAGCGTCTAACAGCACTCGAACGGGCCATGGATCATGTTGCAGGGTCACCATGGCGCCTGACTGCTCATGATAGGGCTTCTTGGCGGGCAAGGGAGGATGCCTGGGTGGCCCACATGGATGTCCCGTGGTCCTCAGGGCGACAGTTGGCCGTAGGAGATTTGTAACAGTCAAATTCATGCATGACCTGTCGGGTGACCTTTTGGTATTCGAATTACCTTGACAGCTTTTCTCTATGCACCTCGCCTATCGTTCGTAGGAGGAGGTCTGGTTTCGTGTCGTCCCTCACACTGTCTGAACTTCTGGGTCCACAATGGATAGGGAAGACAGGACAGAGAGTGGAGTGTACAGAGCGTTGTATAGCGATGGGGGCTGCAGAGGATCGTTGCCGTGTGAAGGTGCTTGCCGCCCCTGATTGAGCGATCGAGCCCAGCTCCCCTCGCATCCGTGCTTTCGACACATGGCGAACCGCATCCTCGTTTTCTTGGGTGCCTTCCTGGCTGGATGGTGTGCTGCTGTTCCTTCCAGGGACCGTAGCCCTCGGCCGGCTCGTGGGAGCATCCATGCGGAGCAATCCTTTGCGACTCCGCCGACCGGAGCGACTGCTTCAAGTACGAGCTCAAGGGTCACCACATGTTCTTTGACGCACCGGGCCAGCACAGAGTCGGAGCCCGAGTACATGCATGCTAGCGAAGAGAATTCAACACATGAGAACCCTATGACTGCCCGATCTACATTTGCCCGGAGCCCACGTGCACGACCTCAACACGATCAGGGTACAGGTGAACAAGCTCGGCGGGTGCAGGACTCGCGGGACCTTCTCGATTACGCGACCCGGGACAGCGGCAGGGAGACGACGAACCTGGGTGAGCTTCGCTCCAGTGCTAGCTCCAGTCAGGTGGGGGTGAGAGCGCAAGAGCCGGTGGAACAGCCGGGATGGCTCCAGACGGCCCTGTCGCAGCTGGGTGACATCCGACAAGGTGGGGGTGGACTTGAGCCTCTGTGGTTGGCAGTTCTCAGAAGAGTGGAGCAGCGGGGTAACGACCACTATGCTCGTTGGAGCCGTTTATACCTCCGACCTATCCGAGCGGAGTTCTCGAACCGACTGCAATGGGAGAGGTATACATCGAGCCTGACTGAGGGCGAGATCGAATGGGCCTCTCGGGTTGAACTCGCGACTTTTCAGGATTACAACAGTGCTGCAGGCACACGAGTGCAACAGGGTGAAGGTGGGATATCAAGACTCCCCACGCATGACCAGGTGTTGGCGGACATGATGACCCCGGTGGATGCGAACTACCCCTTCGGTCTGATGCATGCTGGTTGGGTGAACTCAGCTACGGGACAATGGGGCCCTCGAGGCACTGAGGATCCTGCAAGTGTGTTGGAGGAGCGAGCAGAAGACGGGGAAGAAACAGTCCTCTTCCAGACAGGCACGTGGAGAGAACGGCGTTGGGAGGACTTGCTGGAGCAATTTCAACAATGGTTCGAAGAGGGACGAGAGGTAGGCATCGCAGTTCGGATGGTGCATACTTTGACCCACTCACGAGGCAATCCTCGCTATGCCAGATGGGCATCCAGACCTATCTACAGCCTGGGGGTTGGGTATCCCAACTCTCAATGGGGCGAGACCTCTACTACTCCTCCTGACTTCTTCGATTGGGCCAATGAGATTGAGACCTTGCTCTACGATGGGTGTAACAGGGAATGGAGGGAAATGGGTTTGCCGGCGGATGACCAGGGTGACACCACTAGCCTCATGCACAGGTACAGAGATGGTCGCCGTAGGATCCGGGACTCCAGAACTCCCCGCCGGACTGGACCGACCAGGCGGCCCACTGAGGAGTTCATGCCGCCTCGACCGCGACGAGCACGACCGTATCCGCGGACGAACACGACTGCGGAGGAATCCGCAGGTGGGGCATCAGGGTCGGGACATGGTGATGGGACAAGTGTAGGGTCGACGGACGACGTGACGGTGGTTGTGGAGGAACCCCCGATGCCCACAACATTGTCATCGAGGAGCCGGGACCTACCCGCCTCAAGCAACCGGCCACCTGAATTTCCGGACCTGACAGCGCCCATGACCCACACACAGGCGATCGATGTTTGGCGACGTCCTCTTCGACCCCTCTCGCTTTGGGCCGGAGTTGCAAGGAAACAGTGTTGTGCCAGACCACTTTCTTCCGGAAGCCACATTGAGGAGAATTCGCACTGTTCACCAGCAGATGTCGCACCACAACCGTATGCTGTCCACAATTGCTCTGGTTACCATGATGAGATATCTCATGTGTGATTTGTCCCAGACTGTGGAGCTGGCAGATGGAACAGTGAGGATCAGGGATGGAGACCGTGCGGGAGCAGAGCCGGAACCAGACGAAGAGTTGCTCATGCAGCAGTTTATGGTCTCGCGAGGCAAAGACACTGCTGACAGGAGATGGACCCGTGCGATGATACGGCTCCAAAAGGAACTCATGGGACAGCAGAAGGCTGCTAGACTTACTCATGCACGGCTACTTCGCATGGGGCTACCTTCGGGGGACCTCCACTGGGGCTCGCAATTGGAGGCTCTGCTCATTGCCACCTTGGAAGAGGATGAGCAGGTTGAAGGGTCGGCCCAGACGGACCCCGAATGGCTGTCTAGTTGGGTTCGTGAACTGGGGGACTTCATACCAGGGTTTCAGCAGGTGACGGAACCAGTGGAGATCGAGTCGCAGGACCGGGGGCAAGGGCAGAACACCGAGAAGGGCGCACCTGATTCAACATTTGGTGAGGACATCACTGATAGGGAGATTGAACAGCTTGCCAGGGACCCAGACGAGGAACGTGACCGTCAACAGCAGCTGAAAGCAGAGGAGGCGATGGAGCAAAAAAGGGTGGAGGAGCATGAAGCCTTGTGTGAGCAAGAGCTCGCATATCTTCGCTCTGAGGCTGAGGAATACCACCGATGGGAAGGGCAGCAACTTCGTAGTGCCTTGCGAGGGGACTCCTCCCCGCCTGGGAAGAGGAGGTGCATGATCTCGATTGAGGCTGCGTCTAGCTCGGGAGATCGTCCTCGCATCCATCATACTTTGGCCCTCGCGGTTCCTGAGAATGGCAGTGACCTGGTTATTACCGTTAGGGCCAACATGCAGCCGATTCCCGAGGAAGTACCCACGGAGGTGATACCTGTACCTGATGGCAAGGAGGAACTGGATGTGGGTAACCAGATGCTGCAGGATCTCGAACACGAGGGGCTCGCAGCCGGAGATGCTTGCGATGTTGGACTTCCAAGAATATGAGGAAATTTACCGCTTGTGGGAAGCGGGCAGCCTGTCATTGGTGGAAATTCGTCGGCGGTTCGGGAACGAGGTGGTGGAGATGCTGCAGGCACAGAAAGCAGTCTCGGAGGAGGCCGACCTCTCGCTTCTTCGGGAGCAAGCACAACAGGAGGCCAGGGACACTATGCTCGATGCCGCGTCTCCCGGACCAGAGGCACCACCACCTGTGAGCATCGACCACGGGCACACGGAGCTGGGTAGAGTTGGGTCGCCCAAGGTCTCCTTTGCCTTCTTCGAGAACATCTATGGTCAGTGGAAGGATGGCCTGTGGACGAATGCAGCTATCCAGGCCCGGTATGGTGAAGACTGGGTGAGGCTCTTCCAACAATGGAAGATCTGGGGGTTGGAAGGGATCTGGCATCTGCTGGGTCTGGTCCTGGACATGTCGCAGAATGCAGAGCCCTCAGAGCAGAACCTCATTGTGGATACCGATCAACTACGACCTCCTCTTCGGGTGCCGTTCGTGGTGGTGCAAGCGTACTATCGGCAGTGGTTACAGGGTTTCTTGACGGACTCGGCACTGCAGGCCAACTACGGTGCTCATTGGCTGGGGATCTTTGGGACATGGCAACGGGAGGGATTCCAGCAAGTGGCGAATGAACTCAACATGTACGTGGAGTGGAACGCCTTGGGGTTGGGGCCTTCAGAACCGGATGCAGCTGATTATCGGCGAGGGTCTGATGGTGGAGAAGGGATGTAAGACCAAGTGAGAGGGCGATAGGGTTCCGAGCCTTTCGCGCTGGGCGGATTCCTGAGGCTAAGACAAGCGGAGGGAAAAAGGTGCTCAAAAAAAAACCTTAAACTCTAAACCCTAAACCTTAAACCCTAAGCCCTGAACCCAAAAGCCTAAACCTTCAATGCTAAACCCTACGAGCCATGGAACAGCGACTCTAGGGTTCATGCTTCCCCTCCTTGGGTTTAGGGTTTAGGGTTTGGAGTTTTTATGGTTTAGGGTTTAGGG